GACTCCGGATCCGCCGTACCTCTTGGGCGATTTCGCAAGCAGGGGCGGAAAGTTCCGCCCTACTCCTCGAGCTCCTCTGATGGCGATTTCCGCCCCGCTTGCCGTCGCTGTTCCCGGTTTCCGCCACGCCTTTGCGGAAACGTTCGCCTTCCTTCTGCGAGGCGGAAATGTACGCCTTACTCCTTCGCATCGTGTGGGGTGCACTTGTGACACATCTTGTATCGGAGAATCAACCAATGCACGGCGGATCTGCAGCCTGGGCGGGGCGTCACGCAGAGGAAGGGGTCCAAACTTCGATCCGAGCCGTCCGGTCCGATTCGGGGTTCGACGTTTGCCAGATGTTCAAACGTTTTCGCCAGTTCTTTTGAGGCTTTCCCGCCTCGGGATGCGTGAGGGCAGCTGCGCCTCGCGGACGGCGTCCAGAGGTGCCCGAATCGTCCTGAGCGGCCGCCAGAGACCCGAGTTATGAACCGAAGGCCGAGGCCACGGTCCATCTCGATCCGAACGAGTTGTTTCCATATCGGCTCTGGCGGGCTCGATCGCATGCAGTTCCGAGGGTCCGATGGGGCCCGCTGCTCGCATGGCGCTGTTGCGCATCCTGGCGAGGCCAGCCCGATTCGATTTCGGCTCCGTGCCAGTGCGGACTGATCCAGCGCACATTCCGACTCGATCCCATTTTCTTTTCCGATTCGATGCTGTCTGATCCTGCACGTGACGGGGGTCAGGAGGTCAGTGCCACCCCCAGACGTCCGACGATATGCTTTTTCGGGTTTCGCGGTTTTCCTTTCACGCTGGCCTCCAGGGGTGGGGGGGGTGGCGTGTTTTGCGTGCCCAGCGGGCAGACAAGAACGGATCATGTGGCGGGGGTGCCCCCTGGAGAGGGGTCGGGAGCTTAGGGGGGCCGCGGGCTGACAGGAAAGCACATCCTCGGATCTCCAGGCAACGTAGATTGCGCCACAGAGACTGCACTTTGGGGTCCGCGTTTGCACGTGTGCATAGAGTAGCGTGCTTGCCAGTGTGCACCCCTGCATCGTGAGTTATTGCACTGTGCTTTTAAGCGATGCGATGCAAACTATGTGGTGCATGCTAATCATGTAATGTAATATGTGGTGAAAGCTATGTGGTGTAAGCTGTGTGGTGCATCGCCGCTACGAAAGTGTGAACCTATTTCGTGGCCCTAGCAACACAATGCCGAACGAAGCCGCCAATGGTAGGCAGGGACCATCGCGCTATTCAGCCCGGGAGCCTGCGAGCAGCAAGACGCCCCATGTCGATTTCGAATCCGACAAGGCTCGAACTGAGTTTGGGGGAGTCAGCGGCGAAATCGCAACTCCGAGTTTGAACCGAACGGGTTTCGATTCCTGCTTTGGATAACTATTTGGCGGAATCGTGATTCCGACTTCGGCCCCAGAAACTTCCATTTCGGTTAAAATCGTTTCATCGATGAAGTCTCAAGCAGGATCGTCGTTTCGACTCGGGCAACCCGTCTGGCACTTAAGACTTTAAACTCTGTAGCCCGAGAAGTCGACAGTGTAACTTTCGCTGGGGGCGTCTCTGAAAAACGGTTTTGACTTGATGTCGAAGCTCGTCGGCCCGACGTCGAAATGGCGATTCCGCCCAATACTTCGTCGACGAAACGTGTTCCACCGACGTCGGAACTCCCCGGTCCGAGATCTAAGCTGCAGGGACATGCGTCTGCTATACGAATCAAAGGGGCGCGCCCGGGCAACATTGTGCTCAGGCCCCGTCGCCATATGGCCCAGCTTCAAGGTGCCATCCGTGGACGACATTATACGAGGGCCCCGCCGCCGAACGGCAAGAGTTAAATGTCGCCCGAATTTTCGCAATGAAACTATGTGGTGCATGCTAAGTATGGGGTGCAATATGTGTGGCGAAAGCTATGTGGTGTAAGCTGTGCGGTGCAAGCTGCGTGGCAAAAGCTGTGCAGTGCAAACTCTGTGGTGCAATTCAGGTTTGTGCGCAGTGAGATGCCAACTCCCTCTGCTCGCACAAATGTCCCACCCTCCCACCCGCAACTTTTCTGCAGAACCCATGCGGCCACAATGGCGCATGTGCTGAGCACTGGCTGGCGCATCTCCGCGGTCACGCTGTCGCGCGCAAGCTCGCCCGCAGAGCGACCAGCTGGTTTGTACAATTGAAGCGGCCGCGATGGCGCTTGCCGACGAGAACTTCCCAGCGCGTCTCAGAGGCCTCGCTGGCGCGCGGGCACTTCAGTGCGGGTCGGTGACTCAGGCCGTCGCGGTGTCGTGATTACGTCGACAACGGCGGCAACGATGATAGTAACGACGGTACGACGGTGGTGGCGATGACGACGATGACGATGGCAAGGCCGATGACGGCGCCTATGCTCGTGACGACGATGACGATGATGAGGTCCATGCTTCGGTGGTGCAAATGATTGACCGATGGTGGCGGCACTGGCTACGACTGACAATGGCGATAACGGTGGTGATGCAATGGCGATGATGAGGGTGTTCTGAGGAAGTGCGCGCGCAGAAATTCAATAAGCCTGGCAGACGTTGCGTTGTAACACGTGTGGTGTTGCATGTGCGTTTGAAGAGACCTATTTCGAAACGTTTCGGAAACCGACGGTTTCGGAAGGACTTAGACACGCGTGCTTGGCGGCGCGCGCGTGTGTGGCCCGCATGGCATTATCCGTGCACTGGGCACATATTGGATCAACGCGGATGCACAGCGTGGTGAGTAAGAGTGCAGGTCTTGGTCGGTGATGCTAGAAGACATGTTGTTTCCCAGTGACTTCAGCAAGTGTGCGCGGGCAGAGCATCTGCAATATGTTTGGTGAAGCACCTACGTTGTTTTTGGTTGGTTATGCTGATTTGCTGGCAGCACGAGTGTGTTTGGTATGGTTTTGACATGTGCGTGCGTTTGGACGTTGTGCCATTGTTTCTTTGGGGCTATTGGAGCACACATCTCTTGAGATACACGAGTGCGCGCGCATGGTTTAATATTTCAAGGGTGAGAGGGGGTCGGTGCCTGGCTTTCCCGGGGTGATGTGAGTTCAAACAAAAAAAGAAAGTCGAGTCACTATCATTTTCCATCTGCAGGTTCCCAGGGCGACCGGCTACGTCTTGTGCCCGAAACGGGGTGAGAGCCGATTTGTTTGTTTGAAGGGGGGGCCCGTGTGGTGCAAGCTACATAGGGTTCAAGCTCCGTGGTGATGCTGAAAGACATGCTGTTTCCCAGTGACTTCAGCAAGTGGGCCCGTCCGCCCTCGGGGCGCCCACGAAGGGGGAGCCCGTGTGGTGCAAGCCATATATAGTTCAAGCTCCGTGGTGATGCTGGAAGACATGCTGTTTCCCAGTGACTTCAGCAAGTGCGCCCGTGTGGTGCAGGTTGAACGGCCGCCCTCGGGGCGCCCACGAGGCGCCCACGGGCAGCAGCGGGCGGCAGCGTCAGCAACACCTCGGCAGGCCCACCCAGGGCACGTTGCGCCCGCGAGGCGCCCACGAAGCGCCCACGCGCGGCCACACGTGCCGCACCCTCGGCGGACCCGCCCAGGACACGGCGCACCCACGAAGCGCCCACGCGCGGCAGCGTGGCCAGCCCTCGGCGGACCCGTCCAGGACGCGGCGCACCCACGGAGCGGCGGACAACGGGCGGCAACGGCCGGCACCGCGGTGAAGCTTCGACAGGCCCGTCCAGGACGCGGTGCGCTCACGAAGCGCCCACGTGCAGCAGCGGGCGGCAGCGTGGCGACACCTGGGCAGACCCATCCGACGAGAATTAACACCCAGGTAGGAGTCCCGTGCGCGTGGGCAATTTTGGATAGCGTGTCGCTCCGCCAGTTCTGACCCACCACGCTTCGGCGCGACACGCTATGCACGTCCCCGCCCCCCCGCATCAAAGTCCCGAGCTGATCCCAGCTTCCCGCCCCGCGGATGGAAGCGACACGCTTTCCACTCGCATGGCATAGCGCGTCGCCGTGGTCGCCGTGGCAGCACGCTAAGCAAGAGCTTCCGACCGTAAGTGCAAGCACCGTTGGTTCGAGGCGGGGATCTGTACATAACCACCGCCTGGAGGATCGATTCTCGCGGACCTCCGCAGGCGGTGGATCTGGACATATTTGGGCCCCCATGGCCCCCGGGGGCCCAACTTTATCCATACTCACCGCCCGCTGGGTCACCAGGACGTCGGTTCCACCGGCGGTGGATATGGATAGATCCCCGTCTCGCAGTAGGGGGCAAAGGTGTCCGTCGCAGCAGCAGCCCGACGAGCCGAACGCGGGTCGCTGCGCAGGAGGGCGGCGGGCAGGCGGGGGCAGTGCAGGAGGTGAAGGGAGGGGAGCAGGGGGAGGAATGACGTTTGATCCTTGCTGCGACGGCAGTATAAGCGAGGCGGGGGACGAAGAGCACGACCACGAGGAGGAGGAGGAGGAGCAGGAGGAGGAGGAGCAGGAAAGGGAGGAGGACGAGGAGGACGAGGAGGACGCCGACGACGACGAGGACGATGGCGAGGACGAGGACGGGGAGGACGATGAGGAGGAGGAGGACGAGGACGAGGAGGACGAGGAGGAGGAGGGGGCAAGGGAAGATGGAGGAGGAGGGAGGAGGAGGAGGAGGAGGAGGAGGAGGAGGAGAGTAGGAGGAGGAGGGCGGAGGACGATGACGAGGACGAGGACGAGGACGAGAGACGAGGACGAGGAGGACGATGAGGACAAGGAGGACGAGGAGGAGGACGAGAATGACGAGGAGGAGGAGGACGAGGAGGACAAGGAGGAGGAAGGCCAGGAGGAGGAAGACGAGGAGGAGGAGGAGGAGGAAGGCCAGGAGAGGAGGAGGAGGAGGAGGAGGAGGAGGAGGAGGAGGAGGAGGAGGAGGAGGGAGGAGGGAGGAGGAGGAGGAGGAGGAGGAGGAGGAGGAGGAGGAGGAGCATGACGAGAGGGGGCGATCGAGGGGCGCGCCGCTCGCGCGCGCTCGGCGTGGCGCCGAGCGGCCCCGGTGCGCCTCGCCGTGGCCGAGGCCCCCACAGTTGCCCCGCGGCCTGCACCGCCGCCTCCGTGCTCTCGCGCCCGTACTACGCGTACGTGGCGAACGTCATCCCGCCAGCTGCCGCCGTGGCCGGGCCGCCTCCTCCTCCTCCTCCTCCTCCTCCTCCTCTCCTCCTCCTCTGCTGCCACCCTCCTCCTCGTCTTCCTCTCCCTCCTCCTCCCCCTCCTCCTCCTCTCCTCCTCCTCCTCCTCCTCCTCCTCCTCCTGCTGTCACCCTCCTCCTCCTCCTCCTCCTCCTCCTCCTCCTCCTCCTCCTTCTCCTCCTCCTCGGTCCACGAGCGGCGCGCGCACGCATCCGCGTATCCCGCGCCTTGGCGGACGGGCTTCTGGGGCGCGATCCCGCGGAGGCGCGGTCGCACGGCTGCGCCGCGAAGAAGCTCCCCGCGTCCGCGGGGTCGCGGCCGAGGGGCCGGCCCGCAAGGCCGTGGATACTGATACGTCTCTCGCCCACGGCGGCTTGGGAGGCTTCGGAAGTGGTGTTCGCGCGTGTTCCAAGCTTTTTGGAGGTGGTCGCAGGCTTTCGGGAGTTCCAGGATGCTTTCGGGGCCCCTCGGCACCGCTTCGCCGTGTGCATTCTTGCTCGGCGAGGACCATGGAGGAGCACGTCGGGCCATCTCGTGACAAAAGCACGCGAGAAATCGAAGTATGCACGGGGAGTGGCCGTCCGAGCGGTGGCGAGGCCCGGGGAGGTTCCCATCGGCTGCGCCCCTGCGAGAGCGCTCTGAGGAACCCCGGGGTCAGTGCCGAGCGGCCGCCCCGAGGCCCGAGGCTTGCCATCCGAGATGGGCTGGGCTTTCTCCTCGTGGTTTTCTGCTGCCACTGCCGCTGCCGCTGCTGCTGCTGCTGCTGCTGCTGCTGCTGCTGCTGCTGTCGCTGCCGCTGCTGCTGCTGCTGCCACTGCCGCTGCTGCTGCTGCTGCTGCTGCTGGTCAAGTTGGCCCCCGCGCTGCTCCTCATCCTTTCCACCTTGGCCCCGGCGACGCGCACAACACACACACACACACACGGCCGCAAACAGTGGCTCGGATTCCCCCTTGGCCCTTCGGACTCGAGGTCCCCGGAGATCCGGACGGCGCCACGACAAGAAGGCAGCATCGTGCAAGAGCATCACGGGGACCCGACCCCAACCTGCTGCGGCCCTCCCCGGGCCGCATCGATCTCTGAGGGCCCCGGGGCCCGGCACTGGGCGAGCACGCCCGGCGAGAGAAAGACCGCACCGCCCAGATCTCGGGGCCTCAGGGGCGGGCCGGGCGGCCCCCGAGCGCCCCCCGTGACCCCAGACATCCGACGTCTGGATTTTTCCGAGACGCGGGCCCCCGACCTCCCGACCACTTCCCCGGGGCCGGTTTCGCATCCCGAGTCGTTTCTTGACGGCCCCGAGGCCCGGCGAGGGCCCCGAGAGGCCCAAGACTACGAGAAACTTCGGTCTCGATTTGTCCGAGACGCCCGATGCCTCCTCGGGGCGAGGGGCCCGCGGACCGCCGCGCTCGAGGCCGTGACGCGCGACTTCGCCCAGAGGCGCGGGCGCGGGCGCTCTCGTCGGGGCCCCGCGCGCGCTGCAGGGTTGCCGGCAGCCCCGCGGCCCGGACCCCCGCCGTGCCAGCGAGCACGACGCACCCGGCCTCGGGGGGCCGCATGCGGCCTCCAGGAGCATCAAGACTCATGATGTCCCAACCTACTTTAGCCTGGACCGAGAAAGAATTTCGAGCACCAAAGAAGAGCCGAAACTCGAGGGTTTTCGCGTGTCAGGCCCTAGGTCACCACCCACCAAACCACCCCAACCCAACCTGAAGCCCTCAATTTGCCTTCCATTTCCAGTGGGGGGGTGTCGGGGAACGTTGAAAAAACACATGATATCCGTACCCCCCCCAACCCGAAATTCGGGTCAAATTCGGGCCTTCGGGTTGGGTTGGGGTGGTCTGGTAGGTAGTCACTAGGAGACACTCGCCCGACACTGTTTCGACACTTGTTCGACGCTGTTCCGGGTGCCCGAAAGTATTTCTGGGCTGTGGTCCGCGTCCGGCCTCCAGGAGCATCAAGACTCTTGATGGTCCTGGATTCAAGTTGGGCCCGTCTCTCTACAGGAGGAATGTTCAAAAATAGTCAACAAGAATAGTCAGGGGACTAATTTTAAAGTATTTTTGGACCATTTTGGAATACTTTTTAACATATTTTCAATTATTCGTCCAAACCCCCCCTGTAGGGGGACAGGCCCGACTTAACTCCAGGACGGAACCAAGACTCTTGTCGGTCCTGGAGCCGTGCCTCTTGATTCAAGAGGCACGGCCTGGCATGGAGAGCTGTGCCCAGTCGAGGTCAGCCACGCGCAGAGGGGGTGGGAGGTGGGGGGGGAGGGGGGAGGGCGGCCTAGATAGGGGAACAAAAAGTGGCATAAACATAAAAACTCGGAGGTCCGCGCGGATTCTCGGATCGGCGGCGGGGCCCCCCGGCGGCGCCTCCGGCGCCGCCCCT